GCAGCTCAAACCCACCAGCCACTGGTACAACTGAATGGAGAAACAGGTAAATTCGAATTATAGTTGAAGAATTCAGCACACCCTTCTCAAATGATATAACTATTTTTAGTTCCAATTTATAGCAACCCTATGCATAACAGGGAGTCCTGGTGTGGTGCTGTGGGCTAATGTGTCAGACTGCAAAGTCGTTTGAACTTCAAGATTGGTGGTTCAAGCTCACCAGCTGCTCTTTGAAAACCCTATACAGGGTCGCTATGGGTCGGAATCAATTTGACGGCCCTTAACAACAACAACGTATAACAGAGTGAAACATTGCTCAGTCCTGTGCCTCTTCACAATCATAGATGTTTTCTGACTGCTGCTTCTGTGTGTGGTTCAAACCCACCAGTGGCTGCATAGGAGAAAGATGAGGCTGTCTGAACATTAAAGATCCACCGTCTCCAAAACCCCATATAAGGTTGGAATCAACTCAATGGCAGTGGATAGTGCCAGGAAGATGCTTGGTGCTACCAGGATGCAAGTAAGTGGAAAGTACACAAACTCACAGTACTGAGCTTCTGTGGGAAAGGCAGAGGTGAAATACAGTAAGGATACTGAAGTGTAGTGAATTATTTAATGTCTATTCTAGCCATAGTCTGTAATTTCCCTTAATTTTTGAAACCTTAAAATGAAAATGATAAATTATAGAGTGTTCTAGAATTTTTAAATCTTGCATATTTGTTGTTGTTGTTGTTGTTAAGTGCCGTTGAATTGATTACAAACCATAGTGACCCTGTATAGGATTTCCAAGGAGCAGCTAGTGAGCTTGAACCACCAACTTGGCAGTTCAAATGACTTTGCAGTTTGATGCATTAGCCCATAGCACCACACCAGGACTCCTTTAAAATTTGCATATTACAGTGCCTTAAATGATTACAAATCTATCATGTTTTACAATCTATTACAACATTACTCCAGACCAATGTTGTAATGGCAGCCATCTACTTTGGTACTGAAATCATTCATCCTCTCTCCCATCACTAACATAGTGATCTGTCTTCAACCCAAAATCTATTCCAAAGTTCAACGGAATGTTCAGATTATTGATTATCTTCAACTTTGTATATAGCAATCTTCTGAATATTATTGTTTCAGACTTTTAATTTCAGCTGATTAAAAAGTGACCGGGCACTAATATATTATTGTTGGTTATTGTTGAATGGAGTGTGACTCAGGCTAATTCTATGTGTGTCAGAGTAGAACTGCTGTCTAGGGTTTTCAAGGATTGACCTTTCAAATGATGAGACTTGTCTTCTGAGATGCCTCTGGGTGGGTTTGAACTGCCAATCTTTAAGCTAGTAGTTGAGCACTTAACTGTTTGCAACACCCAAGAACTATATGCAAAGGAGTTTCAAACATTCATAGAATAAATGGAATCAAAAGATAGTGGAATTTGTCCATGAACTTTTTGTACAAGGACTAGTCAAAAAGTATTGTTTCTAGGGTTATAGTGCATACATACACCAATTTAGTCCAAACAAAACATGCTTACACATACATGTCTCTGTGGACAGTGGATGCTGCTGACAAGCTCTCTCAGCAATACACGTTCCTTAGTCTCATTAGTGTGAAAACAGTGGTTTCAAAACGGATCTGCTAGTGGTTTCAAAAGGGATCAAAAAAGTCCAGTGAAAACAGTGATTTCAAAAGGGATCTGCTAGGCCAGGTAAACTCAAGGCAGAAAGGTCAGCTTAGAAGGTTATGCAACTGCTTTTTGCAGTTCCTAAGGGGTAATCTTGATGTACATTTTCTCAAGGACACAGGACAATTATGAATTCTTACTAATAAGAAGTTTTAAGCAAGTTTTAAAGAAAATAGAGAACTGCATTAGTGATAAAAAGATCAGAAAAGTTGTGCTGAGTTTTTCTATCATGACAATGCACCTGTTCATTCTTTGAGCAGCAAGAGCTGTTCTAGGAGAATTACATTAGGAAACCATGCCTCATCCATCCTAGAAACCCAATCTTGTTCATTCAAACATCTCTTTTGTTCCCCAAATTCAAAGAACATTTAAAAGGAGCACAATTTGAGTCTCTTGAGGATCCCAAAACTACTATTTTGACATGCTGTAAATCAAAGGGTGTAGCTTTCTTTGGGGAAGGGTTAGAGCAGTGAACAGCTGACCTATAGGCCGTGTGTTGTTGCTGTTGTTCAGTGCTGTCAAGTCGATTCTGATCCATAGCAACCCTGTATAAGGTTTCTGAGGAGTAGCTGGTGAGCTTGAACTGCCAATCTTGCAGTTCAACCCACTTTGAAGTCTAGCACATTAATCCACACAGCAGACCATCTAAGACCCCCAAAATCATTTGGTCTGGCCATGCTGAGGAGATGCAGTTCCAGCCATCATATTGCTGTTCTTAAGTGCTGTCAAGTCGGTTCCAACTCATAGTGACCCTGGATAGGGTTTCCGAGGAGTTGCTGGTGTGTTTGAACTGCTAACCTTGCAGTTCAAACAAACCTTGAGGTTGAGTGCTTATCTTGGACTACAGCCATCATATTGGAGGAGGAGGAGGTGGTGTGTTCTGGAGTCAATTCTGACTCATAGTGACCCTGTGCAGGGTTTCCGAAGCTATAAATTTTTAACAGAACAGGAAGCTTCATCTTTCTCCTGAGGAATGGCTGGTAGTTTCAAACTGCTGACCTTGAGATTAGAAGCCCGACTCATAAACACTATACTACCAGAGCTGGTTAACTATCATATTAGGGGTGAGTTGAATATTTGACCAAATATAGCAGATTAATTTTTAAGCTGATAATTTTGTATGGCCCTCAAACGAAGTTAAAAATATCTAAATGACCCCTGGCAGAAGAATTTCCACCAGCTCTGTGTTGGAGATGGTAACTAATACTGCCTTTAGAACTATGCAGACCTAGGTAGAGGATATATTGATAAACAATAGCTTCACATTTTGATATTTTTGTTTCCTAAATAGTTTCTATGATTTTGACTTACCTTTGCTGATGTTCAATGTCATTGAGTCAGTTCCGATTTATAGCTACTCTGGTGGGTTTGAACTACCAACCTTGTGGTTAGAAGTCCAGTGTAACTATACAATAGCACCACACAAGAGCTCTCTCTCTCTCTTTGGAATATATATATTGCAATAACAACCTATGATAGGCAGATGATACAACCTTGCTTGCGAAAAGTGAAGAGAACTTAAAATACTTATTGATGAAGATCAAAGACCACACCTTCCGTATAGATTGCATCTCAATGTAAAGAAAACAAAAATCCTTACCACTGGACCAATAAACAACATTCTGATCAATGGAGAAAAGACTGAAGTTGTCAAAGACATCATTTTTCTAACACTCATGGAAGCAGCAGTCAAGAAATCAAAAAACATATAGCATTAGGTAAACCTAT